TTTTCTCCACTCAGCCCCCCCCCCCCCCCCCCCCAATGCTGGTGTAAGGACTTTAAATGATGCCTCCAGATCCGATCATCTTCTTCCTCCAGCTGTTTTCAGCATTCCCTCCATTGCTGAAGCCGGTCTCTGATTCTCCTCTTCTCTCTGCCGACAATCTCTACTGCGCCCCCACACACATCCTGCTGCGCGGCCGCCCGGGAAGCTGGATTCTACAGCTGGGAGCGAGCGGCGGAGACACAGGTACATTTTTACCAATTTGGTAACTTTTTTATTTTGTTTTCATGTTTTTGCATATATATATATATTTCATGCTGCTGGCTAGCTGCAGATATATGTAAAAAAAAAACAACAAAATACGAGACTTTAATAGCACTTTAAACTTTTGAACTGTAATTCTCAGAGCAGCCAGAAGATGGCGGTGTGTGACCAGTAACAGGCCCACTATGTGGAGTTACAGCGAGCGTCATTGAAAGTGATCGGCACGGTGTGTGTTACTCTCTATTGTACAATCCTCAACTTCTTCTGCTATTATTACTCACACGGCGATCCAACAACCAGTGCGATCTGTACAAAACATGTGACTTGATGCAACAAATCTGACCTCCATCCTCCCCTTCAGTCTTCTATCAGACTTCCAGCCTTCCCTTCAGTCTTCTATCTGACCTCCGTCCTTCCCTTCAGTCTTCTATCTGACCTCCATCCTTCCCTTCAGTCTTCTATCTGACCTCCGTCCTTCCCTTCAGTCTTGCACAGTTGTAGCGGCTCCTCCCCTCTTCCTCTGATGTCTCTGCACACTGGGAGCTCCTCACAATGTGCATTGGAAGCTGCAGCAAGTCAGACAGAGCCTCATTTCCTGGCTGGAAGACGTCCAGCATCATCTAAGCACTTCCCTCCACAGCCTGTCCCTGGCCCCGCCCCTTTCACCCTCAGATGTTGTGCTATTTATACACATCTTACACACACACACACATAACACACACACACAGTGGGGTTGGGTCACCTAGCTTTCTGCGCTCCTCTTGGTCTTGCAGCAGGCAGCTGATGGAGGGGCCCTCCGGTGGAGAGGTGTGGAACTGCAGGAGAACCTTCTCGTGTTCGATGAGTTCCAGGCCGGCCGAGGCTGAAAAGGACAAAATCAGAATTTAGGGACCACAGAGCAGAAAGTGTTCTATGGAACCGTCTTCAGTCACACCCACAGCGCCTCGCTGTCTCTAAGGGCCCCTTCACACCTCTGTGGTGCACTGTGGTACATTAACACGTGTTGTGTTATACCGGGGTGGGCAACCTCAGCATTCCAGCTGTTGTGGAACTACAAGTCCCATGATGCAGTGCAAGGCTCTTGACAGCCACAGGCACGAGTTCCGGAGGCAAGAGCATGATGGGATTTGTAGTTTCACCACAGCTGGAGTGCTGAGGTTGCCTGTGGTAGGGTATTAAACCTTTATCTTAGAATTCACATTTCCCTCAAAAGGATATTTGCAAGAGGAACTGAAGGAAAAAGAAATCTGGAGAAACCTCTGCCTCTCGCCCAGGGGGCCCCCGATCCTCCAGTCATGGGGTGCGCGCAGTAAACATCACAGAAGCACCCCCTGATGTAGAGACTACATTTCCCAAGATGCTGTGTGTGCTTATCGCACAGCCTGCATTTCCACACACTTGATGCTGGCCAGAGACTTATATAGCAGATATGGGCCCCTCAGAGCCTTAAACAGCAGGACGGGCCCCTCAGAGCCTTAAACAGCAGGACGGGCCCCTCAGAGCCTTAAACAGCAGGACGGGTCCCTCAGAACCTCACACAGGAGGATGGGTCCCTCAGAGCCTCACACAGGAGGACGGGTCCCTCAGAGCCTCACACAGGAGGACGGGTCCCTCAGAGCCTCACACAGGAGGACGGGTCCCTCAGAGCCTCACACAGCAGGACGGGTCCCTCAGAACCTCACACAGCAGGACGGGTCCCTCAGAACCTCACACAGGAGGAGTGGCCCCTCAGAGCCTCACACAGCAGGATGGGCCCCTCAGAACATCACACAGCAGCATGGGTACCTCAGAGCCTCACACAGCAGGACGGGCCCCTCAGAGCCTCACACAGCAGGACGGGTCCCTCAGAGCCTCACACAGCAGGACGGGCCCCTCAGAGCCTCACACAGGAGGACGGGTCCCTCAGAACCTCACACAGCAGGACGGGCCCCTGAGAGCCTCACACAGTAGCATGGGTCCCTCAGAGTCTCACAGAGCAGGAGGGGCCCCTCAGAATATTGCATATCAAGACGGGCCCGTCAGATCCCCGGTGAGATGTGGACAATTATATAAGAAGACTCTGAGGCTGGAATGTAGATGAGGAGATTGTGGCGGATAATCTGGGATTCGGGGCGGGCGGAGCTCAGATCAGGAACGGGGATTATTGATCGGGATTTCCCCGGGTCACCATAACGGATCTGCAGAGCGACACGAGGAGAATATCTACAGGAACGTTCTTCTCCCCGATCCGCCGGAACCTCTGTAACCCTTCCACTGCCGGGACCGGCCTATATAACCCTTCCACTGCCGGGACCGGCCTATATATCCTCCCGCCGGGCCCGGCCTATATAACCCTTCCACTGCCGGAACCGGCCTATATAACCCTTCCACTGCCGGAACCGGCCTACATAACCCTTTCACTGCCGGGACCGCCCTACATAACCCTTCCACTGCCGGGACCAGCCTACATAACCCTTCCACTGCCGGGACCGGCCTATATAACCCTTCCCCTGCCGGGCCCGGCCTATATAACCCTTCCACTGCCGGGACCGGCCTATATAACCCTTCCACTGCCGGGACCGGCCTATATAACCCTTCCACTGCCAGGACCGGCATATATAACCATTTCACTGCCGGGACCGGCCTACATAACCCTTCCACTGCCGGAACCGGCCTATATAACCTTCCACTGCCGGGACCGGCCTACATAACCCTTCCACTGCCGGGACCGGCCTACATAACCCTTCCACTGCCGGGACCGGCCTACATAACCCTTCCACTGCCGGGACCGGCCTACATAACCCTTCCACTGCCGGGACCGGCCTACATAACCCTTCCACTGCCGGGACCGGCCTACATAACCCTTCCACTGCCGGGACCGGCCTACATAACCCTTCCACTGCCGGGACCGGCCTACATAACCCTTCCACTGCCGGGACCGGCCTACATAACCCTTCCACTGCCGGGACCGGCCTACATAACCCTTCCACTGCCGGGACCGGCCTACATAACCCTTCCACTGCCGGGACCGGCCTACATAACCCTTCCACTGCCGGGACCGGCCTACATAACCCTTCCACTGCCGGGACCGGCCTACATAACCCTTCCACTGCCGGGACCGGCCTACATAACCCTTCCACTGCCGGGACCGGCCTACATAACCCTTCCACTGCCGGGACCGGCCTACATAACCCTTCCACTGCCGGGACCGGCCTATATAACCCTTCCACTGCCGGGACCGGCCTATATAACCCTTCCACTGCCGGGACCGGCCTATATAACCCTTCCACTGCCGGGACCGGCCTATATAACCCTTCCACTGCCGGGACCGGCCTATATAACCCTTCCACTGCCGGGACCGGCCTACATAACCCTTCCACTGCCGGGACCGGCCTATATAACCCTTCCACTGCCGGGACCGGCCTATATAACCCTTCCACTGCCGGGACCGGCCTATATAACCCTTCCACTGCCGGGACCGGCCTATATAACCCTTCCACTGCCGGGACCGGCCTATATAACCCTTCCACTGCCGGGACCGGCCTATATAACCCTTCCACTGCCGGGACCGGCCTATATAACCCTTCCACTGCCGGAACCGGCCTATATAACCCTTCCACTGCCGGGACCGGCCTACATAACCCTTCCACTGCCGGGACCGGCCTATATAACCCTTCCACTGCCGGGACCGGCCTACATAACCCTTCCACTGCCGGGACCGGCCTATATAATAACCCTTTCACTGCCGGGTAACAGGACCGGCCTATATAACCCTTTCACTGCCGGGTGATGTGACCGGCCTATATAGCTCTTGCACTGCTAAGTCCTGGGGACAAAGCAATGCCAGGGCTCTGTGTGCAGTGGTGGCTTTGTACACAGGGGACAGTCATGATGGAGCAGAAAAGGGTCTTCACCAAACTGTTACCACAAGGCTGGAAGAGCACCATCGTCTACAATGTGTTTGCATGATGTAGTATTACAATACCCTTCACTGGAGGCACCCGAATTCAATCATTTGGAGGAGGGTGCACATACTTTTGTCTATATAGTGTATATCTGTATACTGCTTCTGACACAAAACGTGGCTCAGATTGCTTTATCCGGCAGGGATGTACACGGCAGTGGCAGATAAATGTCATCTGATATATTCCATAGCAATAGTCAATCTGCGGAACTGCTGTGAAAACAACTATATACGAGAAAACAAAACCCTCTACAAAAAGGGAGAGAACTGTGACCACAGTGACCAATCACAATTCAGAAACAAAGAATTTGATCGGTCACTATGGTCAGAAGAAGGTTCTTCTCTCCCGACTCCGAAACCTTTCATATCCCAGAGACTTTGGGGCCGCCCTCCTGGTCTGGTGACCACGAAGAAGCAGAAGAACCATGTGTACTCACTGGTGAAGTCGCAGAGGGCGTTGGCCGCGTAGTAGTGGGAAAGTGCTTTGAAATGTTCGGCTTTAACGCGCACCATGGTGGTCCATGAGAAAGGGACGTAGTCTTTCACAGGAGGGTGCATCATGGTCCGGTATACCAGCGAGTAAACGTCTTCAACCTGCGGGAACAGATACAGGATTCACATCTGACATGTATGAACTCTTTCACACAAGACAACCTTTAGTACTACAACACTGGCCCTGAGTCTGGGTTCATCACTGATTCTGGACTAAGCCTTGTTCTGCAGAGATGGGACTCTAAAGAGAACCTGTCACCTTCTTCATTTAAGGCAGCCTTAGTGTCTAACCCCCCCAAACCACTTTATACTTAGCTCTCCAAGGCTCACCCATTGCTGCTTCTTCTCTTGCAGCAGGCCCAACAAAAATCTGGTGTCCGAATTTAGAGGGAAGCCATGTCCTCCCTGTCATGTGACAGTACTCAGGCCTGGTGATTGGAAGGAGGTCACACCTGCACCTATCATCACTGGATATTTTGCACTAGTGGCCACATAAAGTGAGACCGGGAGGTGCTGAAGAGGTGAGAATGGAATGGTCCATGAGCAGCTTTACCCTGAACAGGCAAGGTAACGGTGTCACTTTAAAAATGAAACCAAGCGGCAAGGGAGTGCAGGGTGGTATAAGTGGGAGGTGGGCTTTAATGGTCAAGGTAACCGGGTCTCCTAAATGTTTAGTAATCACAATCTACAATCACATACATTGGTACCTCGGTTCACGAACTTAATTGGTTCCACGATTCTGGTCGCGAACCGAATCAAACTGTGATCAGACCGTAATCTCGACTAGAGGAAGCCACGACCACGTGTCAGAGTACGGAAGATGGCTGCGGTTGTGTTCGTCACCCAATGCCGGCTTTTAATTCTTTGCCTACCTTATTTTTCTTTTCCTCCCTATTCTTCTAACGGCGGCCATTTTTACTAAGTTCAGGTTAATAAATCCCCTTTACTTCCTGGATTTCTGGCACATGTGACCAGGACATGTGACCATGCACATCATCTCAGGGGAGGAAAATGCCTTTCCCTGAGATCTCATGAGATTACAGATGAGATTTCCCAGCAATGCACTGCTGATGTCACCTTCCCAAGATGCAACGCTTGGGCACAATGACATCATCTGTGCCAAACTGGACCAGGAAGTAGAGAAAAATAATTGTAAGTAAAAGAAAAATATGTTTATTTACCTACTGAATCTAAGATGATTTCATATCCGCATAAAGAGCTGCATGCTGAGGTGTGTACCCGCATTTAGATAAGTTGCCTTTGGAGAAAATATTCTGTGTGTCCAGGATCTGATTGGAGGCTCTAAAGGCATCTAAATGCATGTTTTAGCAGGAACATTCTCTATAAAAGGGACAATCCTTAAAGCAGAACTCCGGCGTTCCCTTCAGTCTTTTCACAATGTACATTAGAAGCTGCAGCAAGTCAGCAACTCATTTCCTACCTGGAGGACATCCAGCATATTCCATTTTAGATGTCAAAAGGGTTTTGTGGCTCCCGGTGTTTTCTTTTCTGGCTCTTTGAGTGTTTAAGGTTGCTGACCCCTGATCTAGCCTTTCCTAGCTCTCAACCTGACTGTCCCTGGCCCCGCCCCTTTCATTCAATGGATCTCAGGGTTTTTTTTTCAATCATGGAGTCTCAGCATCACATGTGAGCGATACCTAGGGTGGTCCTCTTCACAGATTTCAGAAGCTTCAATCACAGCCATGAACATGGATTGCATAAATGTCCCAATGGGTTCCCAGTCCCGAACATGGTTATGTAAAGGAAGTTGATTTGAGGGACTGTTGGCCTCATGCTGGGTCCAGGGCTGAGGATGGGAATGCGTCACCACCCTGGAAATGGCATGAGGAGAACGCTCTCAAACTAAACCTCATTTGCATGCATTAGCCAGCGGCGAGGAGGGGATGTCCTCGAAGTCACTGCATTATACTTTATAGGTGGCTGAGGGGCTTCAATCAAATTCTCCAAGGAACATTGCGGTCCTCCTGGGCCAATGTGAGCAAAGTTACCGTAAAACAGAAATAAGGAAATGAACGGTGGTGGTGGTGGTGGCTACTCACCCTGGCCACTTCCTGCGCCATCTGGACCTGCGAGAGAAACGAGTTTGGATTGACCTCCAGGCTGAACTTCTCGAAGATGCACTCCTGGACCTGGGCCACCATTAACCGCACCAGCATGTTCAGAGAGGCCGCGCTCATGTCCAGGCTCGGGGCGTTCGAGAAGTTTTCTTTCAAGTAATTGAAGCATCCTGCAGGGAGAAGACGAGAGGTTTAAAAATAACCACCCGGGGTAAAAATCAGCCTGCCGATGGGAGTGGCCACTTTAGAAGATGACTGGCGAGAGGGGGGGGTGACTAACAAACAAAGAGCTTCTAACGCTCAGCATACGAGTGGAGATCTGATGGAGAAAAGTTGTCCGCACACCGGATTCCGCTGGAATAGTTTATTGAAGCTTTGTACCCCATTACCGGTGTCCCACCCAAGGTCCACACATGCTGACGCGCTTCACCCAATCACAGGCTTCGTTGTAGAGTGATTGGGTGAAACACATCAGCATGTGTGGACCTTGGGTGGGACACCGGTAATGGGGTACAAAGCTTCAATAAACTATTCCAGCGGAATCCGGTGGCTTTTCTTCTGTTTGTATCAGCTCATATTGAAGTGAGGATATCCTGCCACCGGTAAGCACCCGGCTCGTTCCTTTCCTGAGCTGTCGGGGATCAAGGCTTCTTTTGTGTGTTCTCCTGGGGAGCATCACCTGAGCCCGCGCCCCGTGAGCCCTCGCCCAGCGCCCTGTGAGCCCTCACGCAGCGGGTTCCTTGGAAGCCACAATACGTGTTGCTTTGCCTCTTCTGTTTCATATGTAGAAATAGTTGTATTTTGGATTCTTTTGGTGCGGCACTCTGTATCTTCTAGATATCCATTGATCTACACCAGAGGCTCCTCCTAGAGGCCGCATTGTGAGTAGGAGCTGCCTAACCACAGTCACTGCACGTCTCTCAGGACATTCTAATATGCGCCACAGAAACTGGAATCCAGAAGCTCCCTCCATCCATCCATCCATCCATCTGCAAGTCATCCATGCCTCCCAGTCATTCTTGGGAGACATCTGCATGTGTATGGTCATTTGAGTATACAGAGAGGGAAGGAGAAGTTCCCGAAACTCTGCTGCCATTCATAGATCTGAGTAGCTGATTGCACAGATCAGATCTTTATTGGGAAGAGACAGATTGGGGAGAGGAATTAGAATGAAGCCTCAGAGAGCAGAGAAGAAGCAGATGAAACGCTCACCGGCAGCTTTCTGAAAAGCGTCAATAGCCGTGTCCACTCCGTCTACTGACAGGCGATCCTGCCGGGCCCCGATCTGGGTGTACAGCGCTCCCATATTGAACAGCACGCTTCCCTTCTCAAATGCCAGGGCCCGCTGGCAGGAAGGAACCCCTGTGAGAGAGTCGTACCTGTGCGGGTATATCGTCATTATTAATGCTCTGAACATACTGTACATGCTGACCATGTGGTCCGGCTAGAAGATCAATAAATAAACATTTTTACATTTTATAAAAACAGCTACTGGAATTACCCCAAATCTATCTTTACATAACTTCCCAACGCCCTCTGCAGACCAAACAAGAGAGAAGACAGAGGGGACATCTCCATTCTGTGAGCCAACCAGGTCCTATGGCATCCAACAACGCTGTCAGTCTAACATGTGTTACATGTGGAAGCACTGGGGGAGGAGGCAGGTAAGGGGGCAGCACAGGGGAAAGCACAGGGGGAGCTGGAAGGAGATGTTTTAAGAGCACACAGGAGGAAGCATCAGTGGACCCGGAGGGTGGTGATGAGGCAGAGCATAGGGGAAAGTATTAGGGGAGGAGGAGGGAGGTGATGAGGCAGCGCATAGGGGAAAGTATTGGGGAGTAGAAGGGAGGTGATGAGGCAGAGCATAGGGGAAAGTATTGGGGGGAGTAGGAGGAAGGCGATGAGGCAGTGCACAGGGGAAAGTATTAGGGGAGGAGGAGGGAGGTGATGAGGCAGCGCACAGGGGAAAGTATTGGGGGAGTAGGAGGAAGGCGATGAGGCAGTGCATAGGGGAAAGTACCGGCAATCAGGAGGGAGCTATTTGGGCAATGCATAGGGAAAGCAATGGGGGAGTAGGAGGGAGATATTTAGGTAGTACATAGGGGGAAGCACAAAAGGTAACAGGAGGTTAAAAGGCAGCGCACAGGGAAAAGCACCACAAAAGCAGGAGGGAGGTGTTTAGGAGGAAGCACTGAGAGAAAAAGAGGGAGGTGATGCAGCAGTGCACAGGGGGAAGCACTGGAGGAGCAGGGAGCAATATTACCAAAGCACAGGGGAAAGTACCGGAGAGGGAGGCGGTGGGATTTTAGGAGGGAGATATAGGGGCAGAGCACAGGTGAAAGTACCGGTCACTTTATGGTGGTACATGACCACGTCAGGAAAGTGACCACGTCAGGAAAGTGACCACGTCAGGAAAGTGACCACGTCAGGAAAGTGACCACGTCAGGAAAGTGACCACAGACAGCAGAAAAGCATTTACTAACCAATGGAAGAAGACACCCAGCGTCCGGCTGGGTGGTAGGAAGCGGTTGTCCAGGAAGTACAGCTGGTTGTAATACTCCATTAGGAGCTCAATGCCGGCCTCACTGCGACTGGGGGTCCTCATGGCCTGAGGAGGGAAGAGACCACCCGCATCTGGTTATACTTCAGACCAGTAACTCAAACAGGCAGCACAATAATATTTAACATTGAATAGTTTGTCCGGCTGAGGTTTCAATCAGAGAGGGTCGGCCTACAAGTAGCGCTCCAGTGCGGCCTCCTTATATAATCTACAATGCTCTGGGAATCCTTCGTCGTGCCGGAAGTATTTTTTGTTAAACAAACATCTGCAGCACATACATAGAAAAGTGATAAAATCTCATAAAACTAAATAAAATATATGGATATAATTGACCCAACGCCATCAGAGTTTTCTTCAGAGTTTAAGAGTTCAGAAATGTCAGCCTCTATGATCTCATACGACAGTCCCTTCACATAACTGCAGCCTCTATGATCTCATACGACAGTCCCTTCACATAACGGCAGCCTCCATGATCTCATACGGCATTCCATTCACATAACGGCAGCCTCCATGATCTCATACGGCATTCCCTTCACATAACGGCAGCCTCCATGATCTCATACGACAGTCCCTTCACATAACGGCAGCCTCCATGATCTCATACGACAGTCCCTTCACATAACGGCAGCCTCCATGATCTCATACGACAGTCCCTTCAAATAACACTTATGGGTCTTGCCCCTCCCCCTGCCTGTGACTGGAAAGAAGACGCAGCTCACTTAAGAGCTCATCTCTTGTCATTCTGATCTCTCCTCCTATCAGCATGTTACTTTGTTAAGACATGAACACTGCAGCACAACCGATTGGCTTCTTGTCCTGCTGCACCCTGTCCTAGTCTGAGCTCTGCTGTACAGGGACTGCAAGAGGCTGATACAAGGTCACATCCAGGTATTTAGACTGCTTGCATTTAAAAATACATCTGATGATAATGAATACGGAGCTTCTATATATACCTGGAATTTGGCTTTATTAATATCTGAATGGATAAATAGCTGGACTCAAGGGTTGGTTACTATGGTGCCACTTTAGCCTGCCCGCCATTTTAGTATTGCTTCGTCCGGGGGACACAGAGCTGTCAATAATATGTGATGTGCCCATTGATATAGAAGACACTGACCTGTCTCAGGTCCATGAACTCACGGATCTCCTTCTCATACAGAGAACCATCTTCCCCGTAATGTTCCGCAATGATTTCCTAGAGGAGGAAACACACCAGAGCTCAGCAGCCTCATCACATGACCCATGCCTGCGTCTCAAATACCAGAAATCAATCATTTCATTCACAACACGCAGATCAATACATTTTTACTATAACACAAAAAAGTACCCAATATTTTTTTTTTTAAACGGTTTTCCCTTTATTATTTTATGAAACATTTATTTTTACCAAATTTTTTGGTAAAATATAAAAGACGGGGTCACGTCGGGTAAATAGACACCAAACATGTCAAGCCTTAAAATTGCGCGCGCCCTCGAAATCGCAAAAAACTATCATAGTCGTACTGATCTCCCTCCGTTCTCAGTGCACAGAGCCGCCACATCGCTCGGGATGGATGACGCCCGGGATCGCGGGGACGGCGGCGGCAGGGACGGCGAGAAGAGGTAAGAAGGGGGAGGGGTCATCCTGGCTTGCATCATACAAGCGATCGGGCGTCTTTACAGACACTGCACCGCTTGTATGTGAACGGCCATCGCTGGTCATTTAAAATCCTGGCGGTTTCCTGCTCGAGCGCGCCCCCTGGCCCACCCGCATCCAGGAGACTCCCGTCCGGCCGTCTTTCAGCGTTCGGCGGACGGGAATTGGTTAATAAACGTGAAGTCATACTTTATCAGAATGGCAGCCTGCTGTGTAATGTCTATGGGTCAGGAGAACCATCGCCAAGTAACCATGAGGCCTAGCTGTACATTGTATGAGAGGTCTGAGAGCACTGCAGATAGAGAGAGGTGGATTCTGGGTATTCCAGGTATATAACCTTCTTTATATGATCACATTTGGTTTTATTACCCCATAGGAGCAGAGAAGCATCGCTCACCTTCAGCGGATCAGTCAGGTCCAGATCTTTCGTCTCTTTCAAGCCCAGCGGAATCATGGGAACGCTGATCACTTCACTGCCAACCACAGAATCACATGTCAGGAAACGCATTTAGAAGAACTGAGGTGAGACTGAACAATACAACCCATCCAATTAGCTGGCTGGACAGCCTCAGTGGCAGAACTATTGTCATAGCGACCCAGGCGGCTGCTATTGGGCCCGGGGGACAGGGGGGGGCCCGGCCAGGACGAGGAACAAAGGGGTCCCCCTGATGCCGTAAGGGTCCCTATGGCATCACAGGCTGCTGGCTGTCACTGGCGGCTGTGAGAAGCAACGCGCCGCTGTCCAGATCACCGACAATCTGTCAGTTCCTCCTCACAGCCGCCAGTGACAGCCAGCAGCTGCAGAGGAGGAGGGGGGGGCCCGCCGGTGACAGAGGAGGCGGGGCCCAGCAGTGGAGAAAGCTGACAGCGGATCGGGGATGACAGGTAAGAGGTGTGCCCAGCCCACCTGAGACCCTGCAGAGCCCACCATAGACAGTCTATAGTGGGCATTGCAGGGTCACTCTCAGGTGGGCTCCGCAAGGGTCATAACTAGAAATCATAGGACCCCATACAAAATGTTGCTATGGGGCCCTGTGATTTCTAGTTACGCCCCTGGACAGCCTGATCCAATCACATCACCAGGCTGGACTTTTGGAACGCCGGCCGTACAAGGTGAGATCTGGACAAGGCATCCTACAGATTTACACGTCATTGGGCATTCGTCGCAGCCACAAATATTAACAAGGATCAAGTGTTTAAAGCCGAATCCCTCGTGCCAATCCTGAGGGTAGAATAAGAACCTCTTTATTGTGGTTTGTACCCTTTTGGGGAGATTTCCCTCACTTTCCGTATAATCACAAAGAGGATTTAAAGCTGAGGTTTAATCTGCTTATATTTCACTTTTCCTGGTTGCAGTCTCCCCCCATCAACATGATAACGACATTTTTACATCAAACCTTTCCGTTTTCTTTTCATACATTATTAAAAGACTCAGTGATGTCATCACCGGATCCCTGTACTTCTCTAGGGGCCGGCAGGGGGGCCCCTACATTGTTTCCTGAAACCATCACAGCACCGTACCTCAGTACTCCTCACAAGAACCCGCAGCCATGATGCAAGCAGTGGGCCGTCTCTTGGGAGGAGTTATGCAAATATTAAAATGCCTTGATGGGTGAGTGTCAGTCTGGAGGAGTGGGCATTCCTAGGCAGGCTTGAACACAGACTGCCCTCGGTAATGCCCACATGTGATGCTGAGCCTCCATGACTACAATAATGAAATCCAATAAATGAAAGGGGTAGGACCAGGGACAGTCAGACTGGGGATAAGCCCTAGATGATGCTGGATGTCCTCTAGCCAGAAAATGAGGCGGGCTCTATCTGACCAGCTGCAACTTCTAATGCAAATCACCAACCACTCAGTGTCTGCAACCCCCCTCTGCCGATCCCTGCACTGGCTTCCATCCCCTCTTAAGACTCATCTCTTCAGGGAAGCCGATCCCACCTCAACCTAACCGCTCAACCATCACATTCTCATACAATTCATCCCCCACACAGCTCCCTCCTCATATATCACTGGCCCCTCCCCTTTTAGATTGTAAGCCCTCAGGGGCAGGGCCTTCCTTACCATCTTGTCTTGAATTGTATTGTAATGTCTTCCTTATATTGTACAGCGCTGCGCAAACTGTTGGCGTATATAAATCCTGTATAATAATAATAATAATCATAATAAAAGATCCTGCTGGCTTCTGAATTCCATATTAATATATCCTCCCCTGGTCCATACATGTAGTAGACCCGGGGCATGGAGGCCTCATATAAAAGATCCTGCTGGCTCTCGGATTGGACAGACTGGATTCCATATTAATATATCCTCCCCTGGTCCATACATGTAGTAGACCCGGGGCATGGGGGCTTCATACAATGAAAGTTGGGAAGACGCACACTGATGGTACCTCTCGTTTTGGTAGATGTCCACCGAGCTGTTCAACTCCTCCAGTTCTTCTTTCAAAAGCTGTAGGTTGGAGTTGACGTAGCTGAGCTCCAGGGCCACCGTCTCCTTCACTTTGTGGTTGGTGGTCGCCCTGTAATGACACAATACAGACTGTGATATCCACATCAACCACGAAGACGGAACCTGCATAGGATTTACCCCGGGTCCTAAATGTAGTGCGCCGCACCCTCGGCATAACAAGAAATCTTAGTGCAGTGGAACGATGGGGCTTTCAAGATGTACACATAGAGAAAAACCACTATATCCTTGCTTCTCAACTGGTGGGTCGCCGTGTGCCTTTCACTTTTCTAGGTGAGAGGCTCCTCAGCCTCCCCCTAGCATTGCACTATCAGTTCTCGCTCCAAGCAGCCATTCAAAATATGCTGCCCGGCGCCGAGTGTCAGCTTGAGGTGGGGATATGGCTGCCAAGGAGCTCCATCCATACATAAGTGCATTGCTTGCAGCTCCCTCATGTGTCCTATAGAGGTTCCTGAACCGGAGTGACATCACATTCTGGCTCCTGTAACCTCTATAGGGCATGCAAGGGAGCTCTACCAACAATGCATATATGGATGGAGCTCCGTCACAGCACAGCAGCCCACCCTGGACCCCAGGCTGAGGATCCACTCCACTTCTCGTCAGGTAGGGAGACTGGGAGGATCTTAAAATAAAAAAACAAAACATTTTTTGAAGTGTGTGTGAGAATGTCTGAGTGTGTGAGATTGTGTCTGGGGTTGTGCGTCTGTCAGTGTTTTTGAGGGCCTTGTTCACACTAGTACAGTGCGTTAAACTGTACCACGCAATCACACCTACCATGCATTCTTATGTGGGAGGTGTGTTGTGTTGCCATTCCTTTCAATGGTACCCCAAACGCACCTCCCACCTACAGTTTGTACTCCTTCAACGGAACGCGCGGTACCCAAATGCTGTGCGTTCCATGGCAGTGGGACTTGGGTCGCGACTTAATGACTAAGCCTCTGTATCATGAATGCAGCTGCCAGACTTATCCACCTGACCAACCACTCAGTGTCCGCAACCCCCCTCTGCCGATCGTCACAAAGTATCACCCTAACCGTCCCCTCCGCTCATCCCAAGAACTCCTGCTTTCCAGCTCCCTCGTCAACTCCTCCCATACTCGCCTCCAGGACTTCTTATGTGGGAGGTGTGTTGTGCTGCCATTCATTTCAATGGTACCCCAAACCCACCTCCAGTTTGTACTCCTGCAACGGAACGCGCGGTACCCAAATGCTGTGCGTTCCATGGCAGTGCGACTTGGGTCGTGACTTAATGACTAAGGGCAAATGTGGGTGCTGAGGTTACACAGATTGAGAACCACTGCACTATATACACATTATAAACACAAGAGCCACAAATGAGTCTCCTCATAGACGTCTGATGCCGAACTATCACCGTCCGGTCCATTGATGAACAAGAAATTCGATTATGAAAATAATCGTTAGCTGCAGCCCTAAAATTGTCTTCAACTTAGATCAGTTGTCCTCAACCTGTGTAACCTCAGGACCCACGTTTGTCCTTGGTCATTAGGTTGTGACCCAAGTTGCACTGCAATGGAACGCACGGCATTGCTGTACCGCACATTCCCATGGGGGCAATAGAACCGTGGGTGGGAGATGCATTTGGGGTGCCATTCAAATGAATGGCAATGCAATGCACCTCTCACACCAGAACTCATGGTAGGTGCGATAGAGTGGTACAGTGCATTATGTGTGAATAATGCACTGTACTAGTGTGAACGGGCACTCAAAAACACTGACATACATGCACACACATATGCACTCCCAAATTATTATTTTTGTTTTTTTAAAATCCCCCCAGTCTCCCCATCTTACGAGAAGTGGATCCTCAGCCTGGGGTCCAGTGTGAGCTGCTGTGCTGTGACGGAGCTCCATCCATATGTGCATTGTTGGTAGAGCTCCCTTGTGCGCCCTGCGGAGGTGGCGGGAGCCAGAATGTGACGTCACTCCGGTCCAGGCACCTCTACAGGACATGTGAGGGAGCTGTAAGCAATGCACTTATGGATGGAGCTTCCTCCCGGCCATAACCCCATCCCACTCGACCTCAAGCTGACACTGGGCGCTGGGCAGCATATTTTGAATGGCTGCTTTGTGCGAGAACTGACAGTGCTGCGCTAGGGGGAGGATGAGGATCCTTTAGTGGGTAGAACTTGCTGTAAAATTTTGATTTCTGCAGGGATTGAAGAGTGTTTTGATCCCCGTGTGGCATAACTAAATCTGGACGGGGGCTTCAAACCTTCCCCTTTCCATCAATGGTTCACATTGGTTTAGATACACTTTAAGTAGTGCAAAGTTCTTTCAAAAGTTTAAAAAACAAAAGTAGAACCTGAATGGGGGTGAAATTGTAGTACGCCGAGTGGATTTCCTGCAATCGGAGGGAGTCAGAAGGTAAGGATCAGGAGGACTGTTTATGGCGGCGATCTGCCAAGTGAAAGGCCACATTTATCATGGTGGAGACCCTTGCTGC